CCCACTTCTTTGAAGAAGTTGAAAAGGCTCCATGTTGGTTAGAGGGGGGCCAGGAAGAGAGAGAGAAGGGAAGGGCACCGACTGTGGTGTAATCCCCCAACAAATAATGCTGTCTAACGTGGAAACCTCCCTGAGGTTTACAAACGCACAGGCTGGGCTTAATTTAGTGTGATGTATAACAGAGTAATAACTTAGCCACTGCCTGGTTCCCCATTCCTAGCTAAGAATAGGAAGTCTACTATGAGAAAGACATTACATTTTTAAATCCTATAAAACCAAACGCTTCCGCTGGCTAGTGTTTCAACACCACCCAAATCTCTCACTTAAGATGTTTGGAAACTAGAAAGACAATCACAGTGTAAATCTATCATTTCTCAGAATTCACTGACTTACATGAGCAGAAACGTACAGAGAAGGGTTTCAAGAAAGACCTACCAATTTGGATGTATGAAATATTTGTGTTGACTCTTGGTCGAGAGAAAGCTAATGAAAAGGCAAGGAAAGATGATTCCAGAGAACAGTCACCTGGTGCTCCCAAATCCTTTCAACCTATCACAGAGAGGGAGAAACTTCTAGAAAGAAAGGAATGGTTAAATGTATGTATATAAAAGAACCCCAAACGCTCCAAAAACCTTAAAAGGCCAAGAAAAAAAGCAAGGAGTTATTATTCCTATTTAGTTGATGTAACACATATAGTCCATAATTATTTTTACTTTCCTTTTGTTTGTTTAGGAATTAATAAGATAACAAACTAAAATCTCATTACTTATATCAACACTAATAAACTTATTTCACCATCTGAGAATTTTTTACTTTTTAATTCTGTATAAAATACACATGGAATTAGTTGAAAGATATCAAATAAAACTACTTCATTTCAAATTATTTTAATCTCAAATACTTTCAAGTTCCACCTGCTTTTACATTTCTTCATGTAAAAACATTACATATAAATTCAGATTAGTGGCTAGTAAAACACTTAATCTGACAAAGTTATGTTTAATATGGGAAGATGTGGGGGGAAAGCAACCTTCAATAAAAATTGAAGCTAGGTCATTGAAAAAATGTTGTGAATGATTTTAAGATGATGGCTCAATTTTTATACTATTTTTACTAAGAATTTTTAAAAAATAAAGGTATACATATGCCTCAGTATGTGTGTGGCCTCTGATAGATCAGAAAGCAAAATACAGAGATGGCATAATAATGCCACATAAATTTCTGCAGAGTTAATATGAGGTTGAAAAGCTCCACTAAAAAAGTATATTGTTGAAATGCTTACAGATGCCCAGGATTTAAAAAACAAAAACAAAAACCAGCACTTCCATTAGGAACTTTGTTTTCCTTTCTAAATAGTGTCACTCAGAGATCACTGGGGTTGACTAAATTAAATGAATAGTAAGCAATTACATATACTAATCCAAGGAATCAAAATGATGCCTGCAAAAAATGTAGGCTGCACTGCATGTGTAAATGGCAAGAAAATTTGGGCTTTAACTCATAGGTGTACTGTGTGCTCTTCCTGAAACTCATTCAAACAGGACAGCTTGTAAAACCATTTACATATTTATAGGCAAGAGTGCCAGCATTCCTTTTGAAGAGGAATTTCAGGTAGTATATACCTTTTCTAATTTCAATAGTAATTAACTTGTACTGCAATTCTCCTGAGATACGTATGCCTATTGTAGGTATTATTAATGCAGCCTAATGCCTAAATGACTTGAGAATACCTCTGCACCTCTGTGGAGCTTCCCTGGAACATGAAAGTGTTAAGGACATTTACACTAGGAAAGCGATCGATCCCATGAACCCTGAAATGAAATGAAATGAAATGTAATTATATTTAGATTTGGCAAAATTCCAGAAGTGGCTTCCTTGTTGGATCCTCAAAGGCTTTAAAACAATGCCATTTTGGAAAATTCAAGTTGTCCTCACCGAGATGAAAAGTTAAAAGCCCGCGTATCACATTATTAAGAGAACAATGCAAAAGGGACAAAAGAAAAACTAATACTCCATTGGTCATTGATAGCTGTTTAAGGTGAGTGGTGATTTTCTTTTAAAGGATCTCGCAGTTCAGAAGGCATTAGAAAACAATGTGAGAAAGGGAAGGGCAAACGGTCCGCATATTTATGTAAAACAGCGGTTTGCTATTTCAAAATTAAAATGTAAAAATCAGCTAGTGTCAGAGAGGAGGTGATTCCTCATTTCCACCGCATTGAGCAAGCTCGCAGCAGCAGCAGACAGCCCTTAATATATGCGTCTGGCTCAGCCTGGTCTCCCAACCAGGAAGCCATGGAATTGTTAATATCACTGCTTTTTTTGTATGCAACACACATCATTTCCTCGCTCTTTGTTGTAGATCTCTCCTTTTATTTTAAGCTTAGTATGATTTCCTGAATCATATTATACAGCCCCAAAACAATATTATCCTGTGACAGCTATGATAGAAATGCAGGAAAGTGCCAACCATCCACCTAGATACAGCATAAAGAAGTTTATGTACACAAAGTCACCCACTTATATCTTTACTCACCTTTATGGAGTCAGAGAAAAGCTTTATCAATGATGCTCTCCAAAAAGGCAGTTTATATATAGGAAAGTTACATAGAGAGGGTTCAAAGAATGCATGATGATTATTAAAAAATATATAACTTATACATGTTTATGGAGGAAATGAACATCATTGCATTGGAAATTTTGTTTGGGTACCTTTCTTTTGTGAAATAGAAGTTAATATATAGTGCTGTTCATAAATATGACAACATAAAAAGAAAACATGGCATTTGGAATAGCTTAAATCTGATATCACTACAGCCAATGAACATCTACCCTTCACATTATTTTGGAACCAAACTGATGCAATAACATATATGTATATATCATTTATGATTATGTTAAACAGGTGTCAAAAATATACCTGCATGTAATATTGTTTTATATAAGAAGTAGTTTCTGATCCATTGTGTAAACATTGCTAGTAAATATAATGAAGTTTCTGTGTACTTGTAGATACATATACATAGAGTTCTTTGTAGAGACATATGTAAAGAGTTCTTTGTATTGAGAAACTTGTTTTTAAAAATGTTTAATTTCAATGAGAATGAAGTTAAAAGTAAAAGATAGATACTACCAAATGCCTTTACTGATTCTATTATCTCCTTTCATTTAGAACTTTAAATCATTTTTTTATAACACACATGCACACACTTAAAATTTCAGAGATTCTAGAGAAATGAAATAGGTGATATAAATAAGTAACCTGAATAGGTACAGTGTGAATACAAGCTTAAATATATTCTATGTGCCCTGTATCGATGACAGGTATGTTTACCATGTTGTAATTTCAATTTTTAAAGAAATATAACTCATGGGTAATCTGTATTCTGTGATATTTCAAATCATAAGTAACTGTACCAAATTGAATAAAAAGGTGACCAAGGACTTCATACAGTATTCTAAAATACTTTCATAAATTTATTTTAACAATACAGAAGACACATTTATAGTACTCATGTAAAGCATTAGAATTAAAAGAATGAAATTGCTTTGTTTCTTCTATTATTGAAAGTCTCTTCTCCATTTTGAATCTCAATATCTGCAACATTATTATAAAAATTTTCAAGAGATCTAATATATTAATTCTACTTACAAAAGATACATATTTGATGTGGTAGTGGCTAATAATGTTCAAACATGACATATTAGTTATAATTGGAATAGTTACCTCTTATAAAACTAAAATTCTTATAAAACTAAAATAATGCATTTCAGATTCAGCTGATGGATCAACTAGAGAAGTCTGACTTCACAGACTGTTTCTGGTTTATCTCACATGGGTCTATAATATATACAACCTAAAATATAAAAGCTAAAGGGTACCATATTTTTGGCTAATTATTAATAAATTTCAATTGAACTCTTACAACAAGAAAATGTTCTAGTATAATAAGACATGTAAAGTATTTTGTCTGGTTAAAAAAACTAAGGAGAAAACTGGCAATAAATACCACATAGAAAGCAGCATTCTTCTAAAATCAGCAGTAAAATCTAATAGGGTCAGTAAAGAAGATTGTAAATCATTTCATTTCTAGGCCTCAAGAATGATTATAGCTCTATGGTGTATATTCTGAGCCATATTTACGTGGAGACATATAGGATTTCTATAAATAGTTAATATATATATTCTATGCATATGAAAAAAGTTATAAAAACACAAACCACTCTCTTCATTATTAACTAAGGAGATAGTCTCTCAGACCAGCCACCTTACAATACACCAAACGAAGCATTTTAGAAACACTTGTATTTTAATTTTGCTTCTTGCACAGATATCTTCTATTGCTTTTTGGATGGTTGTTATAACAGAAAACAAATGCGATTCAGTGACACTCTGCAATCACTTTAGAGGACAGTTTCTGAAAATAGTATTTTTGGGGGTGGGTCCTGGTGAAAACATTGCTGGTTATAAATCAGAGCATTGTTCTTTTCTCCTGGGCAGAATCTATGTATGTCCTTTTGTTCTGGTGGTAACTGCAGACAATCAATAAGGTCCAAAGCTGCTGGTTCCCCTCCGCCTAGGTCCCAAGAGCCTGACTTGTGATGTTACTGAAATACCTCACAAGTTAGGGTCTCAGGGACTAGGAAAAGTCTGGTTTGCTGCGGTGGAATTCTTCTTCTTTGGTGATAAGGCTAGCTTAGAAATTACAGTTGGGTCCATTCAAACTTCTCCCTCTAAATACTAATGGCAATACATATGTAGAAATAGATATAAGACACATAAAAGTTAGGATGAGCTGAATATTCATAATGACCATTTACAGACCTTAAAATAACGAAGAATATGAGAAACAATACAAACAACGAACAGTTAAGAGTCATTCCAATAGATCCAAAGAATAAGGCTACAAATGGGTTAAAATCTGTTTCTAGCAGATTTGTACAGCAACACCATAGTTCTATTACATGCAAAAAGGATTATATCCCAGTAATAGGACCCTGATTGAAATTTGGCTTCCCATTAGCCTTTTATATAGCACAACTGTTAAGTTGGCTCCAGGATATAGAATACTTTCAATCTGATTTAAATATATACTGTTGCAGTTAAGAATAAAACAAAAACTTTTTTGCATGTCATAATTTAATACCTCTGAAGCTCGAGTTTTCTCTTTGAATCTCCAAACTATTCAGACAGCCAAATATTCCCATGCATACTCTGTAGCTATTTGAGCAATGCCACTTAATGAACGTGAAACTTAAAAAGGCTGGCAACCTAAGAACAAAAATGATTCTCTATCTTAAATAGTTGCATTCGAAAGCTCAATACTTTGGAAAATGCACCATCCCGATCCTGTACATTCACTGAATTTCCTCCGATCTTTTAGCCTTGTTTGTGGTTGGAGAACAGAATTTGTACTTTAGGAATGATCCAAGGTTTAGTAGCAGAGAACGCAGGGTAAAACAATCGGACCAGCCATAACATAAAAGTCCTGGCCACAGAAGTGGAATCTGGTTCTTCTGCAGTGGTTGATCTTAAAAGGGAAAAGAGGAGGAAAAAAAAAACACGCAAAGAATTAGAATGTTTTCCTGTAGAACAGGTGAATCATCCATTTCCAAGTAAGCTGCAAGGAAAGCTAAGCTGAACAAAATAGTTGCTAACTGCCCCCCCCTCCACCCTAGTACCACACCCCTTTCCAAC